TCTCACAAAGAGAAACAATGAAACGCAAGCCGTGAATGGGAGGAGCTTTTGTCTCATATTGTACGCAGACAATTAAGGCCACCTACCCACAAGCCAGATGGCGGGCCTTTAGATGTTGCCAACGAGTCCACCTTCTCCTTTAAAAAAAAAAAAAAAATTATCCTTGTTATTACCGATAGTTTTATTTAAAAAAATTCTTTTTGGGTCACGTAATGTGCGTCGACTTCAGGAACGTTAAAGTGCAACTTTCCTGTTGGGAATGAATGTAGTTTTCTGACATGCCTTAATAATTAACATATTTTGCACTTTCTAGGGAGTTGTACCCAAAGACGCGGAGCCGACTGGCGCCTGTGGGTTAATGGTTACGCGTTTTGCCGTGGCACGCAGAAGACGTGGTTTCGTTTCTCAAGTGGGGAAGATTTTTTTAGAAAATCGTGTGTCTCAAGTCTCTCTGCTGGGATGCTGTTTCCCGCTCCTCAGCCTTGGTCGGTCCTGAGTGTCAGGGTCGAAGCAGCCCGCCTCTTGTAATTATCTAAACTGTGTGGTTGGTTTGAAAGGGGTGTCACGGTGTGTGTGTGTGGGGGGGGGGGGGGTGTAAAACATTTACAGTTACTATGGTGCGTTTTTTAAAAATTGGCTAGAAAACATGGTTCACACAAATACGAGGCTGCAACTTCACCGCTGATCCAAGGGGCTCATATTGGCCTATTTCTATGCAAATCTGTCTGTGTCGAGTAGTGAGTAAAACAAAACGACAAACAACCCCCCCCCCCCCTAGAGTACCCTCACATTAAGCAAACAAAAAAGAAACGTCTTCTCCCCTACCCCGTCGGCCTACACAAAACAAAACAAAACAATAGAAAGCTCTAATAAAACCCAATAACTCAAAAGCCTTCCAATTTCTCAAGTGGTCTCGTGATTTTTTCGTTTACTTAAAGGATTCCAACAACTGAACGCGAGCTGAACTTTGTCCTTTAGTATTAGCTCATAGGCTTAGGTTTTTAAAAACTATTTGGAAAAAAAATAGTCTAAGCTTTCTTGCATCCCTCCCCCCCTTCTCTCTCTCTCTCTCTCTCTCTCTCTCTCTCTCTCTCTCTCTCTCCTCTCTCTCTCTCTCTCTCTCTCTCTCTCTCTCTCTCTCTCTCTCTCTCTCTCTCTCTCTCTCTCTCTCTCTCTTTACACCCTTTCACGACTCACTCAGAATTGTGAAGGAATGCCAGTTTGGCAACGGGACGCAAATCAATACACGTCGCCATGGCAAGGAGACACAATTCCTTATTATTATTATTATTATTATTATTATTATTATTATTATTATTATTATTATTATTATTATTATTATTATTATTATTATTATTATTATTATTATTATTATTATTATTATTATTATTACGTAAATTATTACATGCAGTCGAAATTGTCCTCACAAAAGACAGACCCATTGTTGAGGGGAAAAGTGCGTGTCTTAATCAAGTGAACATCTTGGACTGTGTTATAATAATAGGCCTAGTAATAACAAAAATAACGACAACAATTATGATAATTATAATAGTAATAATAAAAATAGGGTATATATATATATATACGTTTCTTCATTAATCACCCACAGTAAAGGCTGTAGTATATTTTCTATTCTTAGACTATTAGCCTAGTAGCCTACGTTGCGCATTAGTCACACCCTGTCCCCTAAACGCACGCGATTAGCACAGTCCCTGATCTCTGCATGTAAATATTACAGGGTCATGATAAGATCACGCGTCTCTCTTGTCTGGGTTTGTACAAATCGCATGCACACAGATAGACAGAACACATTCGCGCACATACACACACACACACACACACACACACACACACACACACACACACACACACACGCACGCACGCACACACACACACACACACACACACTCACTCACACACATGAAAAATTACATTTACTTGCACACGTGCGCGGAGGGAGTACGAGGAAGAAAGGGGGAGGGAAGGAGAGAGGGAGAGAGAGAGAAGGAGAGCGATAATTTATCATAAAGATAGACAGAGAGTAAGAGAGGGAGAAAGAGAGAGAAAGAAAAAAAGAAGATATATATATATATATATATATATATATATATATATATATATATATATAGAGAGAGAGAGAGAGAGAGAGAGAGAGAGAGAGAGCGCACGCGAAATATTTTATTGGCACGGCACAATAACTGCGCGTAATTTTATGATCCATTGATCGTCCACCGGCCCTAAGACTTACTTATAAGATCAAGAATACGCCGGTCAAGGCCTTTTGTGTGGGTGTTGTGACGGGCGGTACTGGCTCTTGGGTTTTTGCACTGCTTTGCTTTTTTCGCTGATGGTGTTTTAGTTTTTTTTTTTTTTAGAAAGAGTTTTTCAGCATTTGCAACACGTAAGTAGGTTACATTATACGTGCCGAAGTGTTACAAGAGAGTAAGAAACACACACACACACACACACAAAAGAAAGAGGCACGTAAGGGACGATAGATGTTTAGAGTAGACTAGAAGGAGCAAACTACTCTAGAGCACAAAGTTGAGTGGTTGTCGGGTGTTCTTGTGTGGTTTTTATCCTTTCCTATAAATTTTAATCGTCTATCGTCCTTATTCTCTCCTCCTTTTGTTTGTGCACTTGTACGATGTCATGTCACTCTCTAGAAGCAGCACCTTTAATCTTCGGCAATAATAATATGACCTAATCGTGTTGCAAGCGCCACAAAGCTCTTAATAAAAAACATCTAAACGAAACACCAGAGCACCCGCCAACCGCCCACTCACTGACATTGATTTCTTCTGCATTATATAACGAGGTTTGTACTGCGCGCGCGTGTGTGTGTGTGTGTGTGTGTGAAGGAAAACCAATGGGATCATTCACTGTTCTTGGATCATAAGTACTTGATACTTTGATAGGTAGTTCTACGTGCTGTGTTTGGTGACTTCTACCGACTTCTGTGGAGTAAAGGTTAGGGTCTTTGCCTTGCATGCATAAAATAAGAAAATCGTTCTAACTCCGGTGGGTGAGTGGGTGGTTGGCGTGTGCTCTGGTGTGGTTTGCTTCTTCTTTCCTGTCATACATCTATTGTCTTTGTCTCCCCTCCTTCTTTTTTTGTGTTTGTTACTCTCTTGTAACACCTCTAATCTTCTGTCGCTCATATGACCTTATGCAGTTGCGAGCGCCGTAAAACCTCTACTAAAACTAACCAAAAACTCCAGTGGGGAAGATTTCTTGTTAAGGATCTCTATTACGAAATCCAACGGAGATATTTTCATGTTCAAAAATGGAAGTTTTGACGGCTCAGATATTTCTTGATTTAAAATTGAGTATTTAAGGAGGTAACTCATTCTTAAGCACATTCGAAGCGAGGGTCGTTGGCGGATGGTCGCTGTTGTGTGCTGTTTCTTTTCTATCAAACATCTATCGTCCTTATAATCTCACCCCCTGCTTTTTTGTGCTTGTTACTCTCTTATTGTAACACCTTTAATCTTTGGCATTTAAATGGCTCTATTGCACTGCGAGTGTAGTAAAACGCAAACTAAAACTAAAAAAAAAATCTGTTTTCCAACTGGAATATCGTGTCCAATACTGGGAACCTTGACGCTGATACTACGGACAGTAGAATTGAAGTTGCCGGCCTTTCAAAGTATCTAGCATTGAGTGTATATATATATATATAAGGACGTAAAACAGTTCAAAGTGTGGGTGGTTGGCGGATGTTCCTGTTGTGGTTTGCTCCTTCTTTTCTGTGAACCATCTGCTATTGTTTTCATCTCTCTGTCTTCTTTTCTTTTCACGTTGTTTCTCTCTAGCTGTAACACCTATATTCTTTTTGTTTAGGATTTCGTAGGGTTGTGTCATTTGAATGGAACTGCATTGTAAAACGAAAGGCTGAGAAAAGTGTCTCAGCTGTGACTTTTCTTTTTTGGAAAAGAATAAGGAATGCACATGTTTGCAGTGATGGGTGCCAAGCTCTTGGGGAAACTCTCACAAAATAGCACTTGCGCACGCACGCACGCACACGCTCACACGCACGCACACACACACACACACACACACTCACACACACACACACACTCACGCACACACACACACACACACACACACACGAACACACACACGCGCACGCACACACAAACACACGCACAAGCACATACAAACACACACCCCGGAAGTCCACATTTCTAATCCTATTGGAAGCCATGCTTCTTGAATTAAAACCCATACTTCACCATAGTGTTTTCCTATTACTAGCTTGGCACTTAGAGCGCAAGTACTATCCATACACACTCAGAAACACATACTAAAAACTTTTGGGTCGGACACTGTTCCATCTTTGTTAAGTACGTTCTTCCACCCCCTCCCCCACCCCCTCCCCTTCACCCCACCCCAGTTTTCCCCAGTCGTGACTCTGCAGGCCCCCCCCCCCCCCCGCATTTTTAAAACGCGTTCTCTCATATCTGTATTTGACTCATACATTCTCAGGTCGCCTTCTTTTACGAATGCATTTCTCATAGCTCACACTTAAGTATGCTCCTCAACCCACACTTCCTGCTCCCCAGGTGTGCGCGCGCTCTTCCTCCACTTTATGTTTATGATTTTCCCTCGTTCTGCACTTCAGGTACCTGGCGTCTGTGGTGTAGTTGTTAGGATGCTTCGTCGTTGCTCGCAGGAGACCCGAGTTCGATTCCCGAGTCGGGAATTAAAAAAAGAAAACTGAGTGTCCAGGTCTTTCTGCAGGGATGTTGTATGTATCCTTCTCAGCCCGGGTTAAGCGTCGCAGGCAGGAACGAAGCCTGCTTCCTTAATGATTTAAATTATGTCAATGTGGGCGTGGTAGGCGGGTGCTCTGGTGTGGTTTGCACCCTCTTTTCTATCAGACATCTATCGTCCTTATCTATCCTTATTTTTATTTTGTGTTACCCCCTAGTAACACCTCGAATCTAAGGCACTTTTATGACCAATTTGTGCTGCAAGTGTTAAAATACTGTACTACTACTACTACTTCTACTACGATTAAAACTACAGTTAGTCACTTTCCCGTTTGCTAAAAATAGCTTGCTGTTCAAAGCCGGCTGCGGCGACAACAATTTGAGGGGGGCTTCCCAGAAATCGATCGGTCTCTAGGCTCCTTCCGAACCGGGTGAGTGGTCGGGACGCTGGCTCTACTCCGCCCTGTGTGCGCGCGAGTTCGAATGCACGTGTCTGCGTGTGTGCTCTTCTTTCTATGTCTGTGCGTACGCGCGCGCGCGTGCGCTTATGTGTCTGTGTGTGCGTCGTGAACTGGACCGGGATCTGACAAGCCGGGGTGGTAAAATCGTGTGTTCGTTCGTATCGATTCTTCTTTCAGCTGGCTCTTGGTGTTGTTGACACGGTGGTGAATCTCCTCCTGCTGGTTAGCACGCAGAGAGGGAGAAAGAGAAAGAGAGAGAGAGTGAGTGAGAGTGAGAGTAACATAGAATTGGCTGACTCGAGAATCTCTGATCTTCCCTTGGATTACGTGGACTTTACTTTTTTACTTTTTCTCACGGGAGGCATTCATTCCCTATCGCCGGTCAAGCAGTTGTGTCATTCTAAGAGGTCTGTGAGCTAGGGTATGTGTGGGTTTTTGTTCTTTGTTTTGGTCACAGGGTGCATTGCCGTTACTTTTTCAAGGAAGGAATACTCTGGCCTACAACAAGGTTTTGTGTGATCACAGTGCGCGTAATAATGTGGTGTTGTTTCAGTCAAGAATCTTATCTTGCAGGGCATGGGGCGTTGGCTGCTAAGTTTTTCCCTTTTATTTGTTTCATTCAAGGCGTAGAATGATTTTGGGTGGTTGACGGGTGCTCTGGTGTAGTTTGTTGCTTCTTTCCCATCAAACATCTCGTCTTTATCTCTCCTCATGCTTTTATATGTGCGTGTTACCGTCTTGTTAAACCTTCAATCTTCGGCACTTACACGACCTAATAACTGTGTCGCAAGTGACGTAAAACTAAAAACACAAAAACGTAGAATTATTTTCTTCTTTTCATTCGTTAGCTGTCAGAGAATGTTTATAACTTCATCTGCAGTGCCCATCCTGCGATTTGGCGAGGAGCTGTATACAGTTTTGTGGCATTTTCTTTATTTCTAATGAATGTAAAACATCATGGATTCTAATACATGTTATGTTTGTTTGTACTCGTAATATGAAGAGCCACATTTGAAAGAATAAATGACAAAGCCGCTTAAAGAAAATCATAACAAAAACAGCAACAGCAACATCAGCAATAACAGCAGTAACAACAACATCAATAACGACTGCAACGACTACTACCATCACCACCACCACCATCGCCACCATCACCACCTCCACCACCACCACCACAACAACAACAGCAACAGCAACCATTACCGCCATCACCACCTCCACAACAACAACAACAACAACAACAACAACAACAACAACAACAACAACAACAACAACAGCAATTAAAATAACCACTACAACGACATCCACAACAATAACAACAAGCAGAATCGACACCGTCTTGTCCGACCAGTCAACCACAGAAAGTCTTTCTTTAAAAAAATCCACGAACCCTGAGCCTGCATCCCCCCCACCCCCTCCCCCCAATCCTAGAAAAACGTACATTTTCCTCTTTTACACGACATTAATTGAAACCGAATTTAAATTTCCTTCGTGGGTGGTTGGCAGGTGCTCATATGTGGTGTTTTCCTTCTTTCCCATTAAACAATTAATGTATTGCACGTGCAACGTCTTTATCTCTCCTCCTTCTTTTTTAAATGTTTGTTACTCTCTTGTAACACCTCTAATCTTCTGCACTGATATGACCTTATTGTGTTGCAAGTGCCGTGAGGTGTTTCTTGTTCGGAACGTTTCTACTGGCTGACGCTTGTTTGTGAACTACAGTAGTTTCATTACATTGTACATTATGTACTTCATGTAATGTGTACGCAACGATAGGACCTTGTTTCGAGCTTGTTTTGAAAGAACAAGAGGGTTCGTCGCTGATGATAATATTACAGTAGGTTCAAAGTGAATTGTTGCTAAATGCACAGTAGTTGTCGTTTGGTGAATTTTTTTTTTCTTCCATTTTTTATAATCAAACTTTTGTCGCTTTTGTACTCTGCATATTATGTAGCTTCATGGCTCAACTCTCTGATTCATTTCGTGACTGTAAAGTGTATTTTCTTTAATTTAAAGAAAATACTTGTTCTTTTCTGTTTTCCTTTTCTTTTCATGATAATTAAAAGACTTAACAAAGTAAAAAGAAAAAAAGCAAAGAACTCCACCCTCCACCCCCTTCCACAACCTTCCCTCTCCCCCACCAAAACGATTAAAACAACCCATTACAACAACACAAACTACCAAATGAAGAAAACAAAATAAAAACAACAACAACAAATCCAAACAAAACAAAACAAAAACAGAAGAAAGAAATTCTATACCCCAAAGCTAAACGCACGCACCTTCCCTCTCTAAAAATGTTGGTAGCCGAACAAACGAAAAGATGCTGACCCGAGTACTACAACTAGCTTCAATAATAAAAATACATGTATCACCTCAGATGGTGCTCACCTTACTAACCACGCCTCGACGATGTGACGTCACAGGCAGGTGGTGGCCGATGGGCAACTTTGAAAAGGGGAGATGGGGTTTTACAAAGAGGAGGAGAAAAAAAGGGTGGAGTTTGCA